CTCACTTGGCCCGGATGATACATTGGTTGCAGCAGGAGAGAAAAGATGAAGCAGAAGCGTAAGAGAGGAAGAGAATGATTTCGTTTCATTCGGTGTCTTTAACCAGTCACATAGGGATTATATATATACTACCCAATGTAACCGATGTTAACTGTCGCAACTAAATAAGAAAATAAATCAAAGAATAAAAAACCGAAATCTATGATTAATAGTTCTTAATTCGTTTTTCCGTTTTCTTCCTCTTGTACCTTGTGTCTCTTTCCCGCCGACAATAGCGATTTCTTGCCTAAAACCTTGTTAGGAAAATATAACCCAAAAATGTGCGAAAGAACAAAATCCCAAAAATTCTTGATTGAGGCCTGTGTTTAACACAGTTTCTTTAAAACAAATTCGCCCTATATGGGTGTTTGTTTTTAATTTGTATTTGAACTGCAGGTTCGATTTGGATTTGAATTGCATGTTGGATTTTGATTATCAATTTGAGTTGCATGTTTGATTTTGGTTATGGATTTGAATTTCAATTTCAATTTGGTTTTGGATACGAGTGGCAGATTGGATTTGGGTTTTGGATTAGAGTTATAGGTTCGATTTTAGATGTGTTTCATATTTATTGTTGAATTTTAGGTTTTGTGTTGAGTTTAGGGTGATTTCAGTGGTACTTGATCTGTGGCCGGAGATGGTGACCGAAACCGGTAACATGCACTGAAAATATGGCCGGAGATTGTGAATGGAGGTGGTGTTGGGAGGTGGAAGAGGATTAAGGTGGGGAAGTGGATCTCTTATATTGATAATTTATTTTATTTAATAACTAACTAATATAATAAAAAATAATTAATAAAATATAAATATATATTGTAAAATTATCATTTTATGTGTACGACCAAAAACATAACATAGGATCGTCCGAATTAAAAAAATAAGTTAGGACCAAACATGCAAATTATCCAAAACCACATAGGCTATTTGTGTAATTTACTCAAAATATTATTAATATAGACAATTATATAATAAATATGATTTACAAAAGTACTGTACACTTCAAATGAGTAAAATTCCATTTTATAAAAACATCGATATAAAATTCCCTAAAAACTAATTAAAGAATGTGTGTCACTCATTCCGAGGCTTAATTTGTTTGGTGTTGGGCCTCTTTATTTTACTTCCTAAATAGTAATCTCTCTTGGAAAAACGAAAAAACTGAAACTAGAAGGGGGAGGTTTTAACATACACTAAAGACGAGGGGCTTCTATATCAATTACGAAAATTATAGACTCATTCATCATCGAGGGGCCATGGAGACGCTGAAATCAGTCGGAAGCTGTCCCATCTTCTCCGTCCAACTCTGTGACTCCAAATAAAGCTTCGAAATCCGACCGGCAACCCAACTAATGTCGGGTCTCTTTTCCGGATCATCCTCCACACACTCCAGTCCCAATCGTGCCATCTTCTCCGCCACCTCCTCCGGATACGAGTCATTCAGCCTCTTATCCATCCACCGTCTCACTCCGCCGCTCTCCACCGCCTCTCTCGTCGTCTCGATCAACGAAACTCTAACGTAATTTCCCTTTTCTTGTCTGTACTTCAACGGTTCTTCGCCTGACAATATCTCCAGAAGTACAACTCCGAAAGCGTACAAGTCGGACTTATGCGTCGGAACTCCGGTAGACTGAAATTCAGGCGACATGTAGCCTCGTGTGCCCTCGAATTTCACGAATCTTGAATTTGGCTTACTTGAATCTCGTTCCAAGCTGCTATCTGTTTCGCCGCAGAGCTCCGCCGTTCCAAAATGGCATATTTTCGCGTTTAGTGACGATGACTGGGTTACAATTATGCTTGAGCTTTTGATGTGATTGTGGATGAATTTCTTCTCCAATCCTGTAGAGTTGTGAATGTAATCGAGGCCATGAGCGAGATCAGCTGCAATCTGAATTCGCGACATCCAATCGGAAAGTATGGTGAAGTTAGGGTTCTTAGGGTTTTTAAGGCAATCGGCAAGGCTAGCACCTTTAACATAATCGTAAACCAAGTATATGTAGCTTCCGGACATTGAAGCACCTCGAAGCTTAATCAGACTCGAGTGATGGCTCTTGCAAATCACGAGAAGTCGATCCCGAAGCTCAGCCGCATCAATCGGACGGCGAAACTTCCGTTGAAAGACAATCACGTCGTCGCCGCGAATGACACACCGCCAGGCAGTGGAAGAAGACGACGAAGAGTGCTTGTTGGATAGAAATTTGTTTGTTGCGGAGAAAATCTCTTTGAAATCGTAGAGATGTGGATTTTCCGGTAATGACTCTCGGAGGCTCGAGAGTGAACTGCCGCTTGAAACAGATGATTTCCATGAGTCCTTGTTGTAACTGTTGCTATCGTTCGAACTAGACGCCGCCACCGACGATGATCCACGAGGAGACTGATTTGATTTAGAAGTCCTCCTTGATGATGATACATGAGATGTCGAGCCTGCACTTCTCGTGGTTGATGGAATTACCTCCGCAGTCATCTTCTTCGATCCACAATTACTGAAAATCCACATAATTTGAAAGAAATCATACCAAACCCAGAGTCGTGAAAAATGGAGGTGCAAACTGAGACGTCGTCGGGAGGTATCGCCGGTGAAACATAGCAGAAAGCGATGAAGGATCAGTTTCTTGTGGAAGAAGATTTATATTAAATGAAATTAAGATTCTGAGAAGGATGTCGATGGGTTTGAATTTTGAATGAAGTTTTGTACCCGACTAGTGTAGTCACTATCAACAACCTTCGAGGAACGTAGGAGACAAGGGGGGAAATAAAAAAGGGCCTTAAATTCATTTCCATATTCATTATTGAACAAGCAGTATAGTTTCATTATTTCATATTTTANGGGGTTTGAAATTTATATTAAATGAAGGATCAGTTTCTTGTGGAAGAAGATTTATATTAAATGAAATTAAGATTCTGAGAAGGATGTCGATGGGTTTGAAATTTGAATGAAGTTTTGTACCCGACTAGTGGGGAAGTAAAAAAGGGCCTTAAATTCATTTCCATATTCATTATTGAACAAGCAGTATAGTTTCATTATTTCATATTTTACAATATTGATTATTCAATTTTATAGTATAATTAAAAAATAGAGTCCGGTTATTATCATTCACAATATATATATATATATATATATATATATATATATATATATATATATATATATATATATATAT